GACATGAAAGGTATCACCACCTAAAGATGTCGATTGTCAATGGTGACAGATCAATGAGCATTGAGGATGTTAAGGTATGGAGGAAGTGACATGATCTCAGTTCCACGTTGAATATTTTTGTCGGAATCAACCTTTGAATACTAGTTAAGATCAATCAATGGATTTGATAGCATCAACAGTTGAATCTATGAGAACACATTCGAGCCAACCTCGACATCATCAATGATCTTGTAAGCTTCTAATTCTAAGGTAATTGAGGGCTGGGAGGATGATTTTCTTCTTCATGACCCATAAACTTTCTCGTTTCTTGTCCTTTCTTTTTTTCTTAGAGGATTCTTCAAGAATAAGGATAACGTCAACACAAGCGAAGGGTTTTAGTAGATTTTCTTCTACTTATTTATATTCATAATTTTTTTTATCCTTAATATTAAGGCAAGATTCAAGTAAAGGTCATAAAGTTTCTCTCTCTATATGTATAGTTTTAATAAGTGTTAATTTAAGTATAAATTATAGTAAGTTCTTCTCATTCATCATGTATTAATTAAATTTTTTATGACTTTTTGGTATATCATTGACCTACTCATTGAGTTTCATCAATTTAGCAATTGTTTTTCTTTTTGGTTTTAGCTTTCATTTAGTTAATTTTGCGTGGGAACTTCACAAATTCCAACTTTAGGGAGTATTCAATAAACTATTGAAAATTTTCAGACCACTAAAAAATTAAAATTTTTAATGATTTAATTTTTATTGCAATTTAATGTTGAAATAACTAAATATATTCATTGAAAAAGTGTTAAAACTGTAAGTTATTTTTAGCTTCTTAATGTATCAAGTCAATTTAATTATTAAAAGAACAAATTATTGAAAAAATATTTTCAATTTTGGCTTAAAGAGAAGGGGTGAGAGGCATATCCACAAGCGAGAGAAATGAAATAAGGAAAATGAGAAAAAAAAAAACTTTTATAACATAGTGTTAGTAATGGAAATCTAGAGTTAAATGAGTTAAAGAAGGTGACAGAAACACTAAGTATTTTCATATTATGATCAAAATATGAGCAGCAACCCACTAGATTTTGGGCTTGAAAGGAATAGGAGAGAAAAAGGGAAAAGGTGGAGAGAAGGAAAGAAGAAAATGAAAAAGAAACAAAGACGAAGGTATATATAGCGTCCTCAATAAGACATTGTTTCAGCATAAGGACATAAAACAAATATTTTTGGCATGTCACTGTCAAGTTATCACCGTTTAATACGTTAAAGGCCACATCAATGCTACATCAGTGTTTTTGACAATAAATTAAAACAGAATTTCTCATGAAGATCAAATTACATAAAATAGTAAATTATAGAGATTAAATTAAAATAAATTTTTAATAGAGGGATTAAATTGAATAAAAAACTATAATATAGGGATTTATTGTATACTTTAATCAAAACAAATAGGCACTTATTTAAGCATGTATAAGTTGTTACTAAGTTGCAATATCTAAAGATATTCTTGGCGTTCCCCTGTAACGACTCCATGGCCCAATGGATAAGGCGCTGGTCTACGGAACCAGAGATTCTGGGTTCGATCCCCAGTGGAGTCGCAATGGGATTTAATTTTAAGAATTTTCCCTTTGGGGCCAATCAGGCAGTAATGTAACCGAGCCCAACTTTCTAAGTTCCAGCCCCTATAGTAGGCCCAAAAGTAAATCCTTTTATTTTTCCTTTTGCAAATTTTGGAAAACTGAAAAAAAAAAATCAAAGCAATGTTTTTATTTTTTTATGAATTAATATTTCATTATGCATCCTCATAAATATTTGATTTATTTATTTTCTTCAATATGAACTACTTCTGGACAATTGTATTAAATATTAAGTATTTACTAATTTTAACAATTTCATACGTTTGTGCTTTAATTCATAAATTAATAATCAATTCGTTATTTCTAAATGATTTATAATTGAAAATAATTTTATTTAATATTATAAATATATAAAAAATTAATACTTCATTTATACATTATTAAACACAACTCATAAACTGAATGAATGAATAAAGAAACTTGTACATTTTTAAGTAAAAAAAAAACAATTATTTTACATCTAAATTCAATGATATATACCTCAAAATTATTAAGTTTTAAACATACGTATACTTAATCAACAAAAATATTTAATAATAAGAAATTATTGTAGTTTTCTCATAATGAAATTATTACCAACATACATTATGAACGAATCAAATATTATCTCTTCGTTAAACTTGTCAAAATGGGCCTGACCCCTTGAGTCGATCCATTTTTTATTAAATATGGGGTAGACTGAGTTAAAAAATTTTAACCCATATTGGAACCTGGCTTAAATGGGCCAACCCACCAAATCAGTGGGCTAATGTGGTCTGGGGCAAGGCCAGCTATATGGGTCAGAAAAAAATAATTTTATATATTTAATTATGTAAAATTAATAATTTAGTTACTAATAGCATTGTTTATTTTATATATTTCATTGTCTTTAATCTTCACTTTTCAAATTAAAAATTTTAATTTAGATTAAAACTTATTATCTCTTTTTCTTTTATGGTAATGAATATTAAATGATAAATTGATAATAATTCAGATTTTGAGACATCATTGCTGTCTAAACAAGATTTAAATGTTTTACTTGAGAATGAGGATTGAGGAGGATATAAATGAGTTTTGAAATTTTTTATTATTTAGTTATATACTTATGTTTATGAGATAGTAGTTTGTGTAGAAGATTTAAACTTTAATGTGTAATTTTTTTTTTATATTTGGTGTAATTTGTTTATTTGTAACATGTTTTTATTATTCAATTTATAAATTAAATCATAGAACAATTTTATTAATAAAAAATTTATCAAGTAGAATTATAAAAATTAATTTTTATGTTAAAAAAAATAAAAATGAACTGACCCAACCGAACCCATGGGCTAACAAGGGGTGAGTTGGGTTGAGGCTTTGATAACCCGTATAAAAAATGAGCTAACTCAACCCAACCCATATTTTCTCAACCCACAAGGGTTGGGATCGGGCTAACCCATATTGACAGCTTTACTCTTCGTTAATAAATAAAATTTATTTTTAAATTTTTATAAATTATACTCTTTGATGAAGTGATCCCATATACAGACAATATGTTATACATAGAACCTTAAAAATATGCTTAATTAGGAAATAAGAAAACTTATGTCTATGTCTAGGTCAAAGAAAGATTATACATGTTGGTATAATTGAATAATTAAATAACATACATGTTGGAATATGTTTATCTATTTTTGGTATAAAGAACAAGAGTACTCCAACTGTATCATTCATACAATAATACAACATGGATAATTAATAGGATAAGGCTGACAAAAAAGATCAATATAGATCAATATGTTTATACTTGCAAAAAAACATACAAAAACTTTATAGTTACTTTTTTTTTTCAATTTTTGTGGCACCCTTTCCAACCCTAATTACCCAATTTTTATATATTAAAAAGTGAAAAAAATTATATAATTATATAAAATTAGATATTTGCAAAGCATGTGTTTGTATATATTTGGATGGGTTAATTAATGTCAAATACTTTCACTCGAATATATCTTATAAGTTATGATCAGTACGAGATTATATAAATATGCTGATGATTGCAAAAAGACAATAACATGTGGATCTTTGTCTTTTGGATAAAATGTTTAGTGGACCTTAATCTAATAATTATATAATCTAATGTTTCACTAAATGCATCCAAAAAGCACAAAGAGAAAAACCAAATGTTTAGCTATAATAACAATATAACATATATTTAGATATTTAGATGCTATAGGACATTGGGTTAAAGCTTTTGGTCCTTATCCCACCGACGATAGTGACATGCAAATTGCCCACTTCCACTACCACTAACCCTAGAATTTTCTTCTCCTTTTTAATCTTTACGAACCCTAGACCTTTCTACTTTCCAGTCAAATTAAGAATTCATGCACAAAAGGTTAAAGCACCAAAAAGGCAAGACAGAGAAGAAATGGATAATTATACTTATACCCTTTTTACTTTTATATTTCTTGTCTTGTTCGTGATTTATTTGCGTTTTAACATTGAATTCCTAGGGGTAACTAAGTTTTTATTAAAATCAAATTAATCGAATAATTTGTAACGATTTGATTAGTTCGGAAATGAATAGGGTTCGATTGAATTTTGATTTTGAAATTTTTTTGATTAAACTAAATTAATGGATTTAAGATTGTAAGTATATAGATAGGTATATTACAACGTATTTTCATTTATATTTGTTGAAATATTATAATGTTTTTAACTATATTTGTTAGAACATTTAATGGTATTAAGCTTACGGTATTAATACTTTGTAATTAGCATAGAAAAAAAAGAAATTAAGAAAATTAGGCTTAAATTTGAATATTTCAATTAAGTTTGATTTAGATTAAATTAATTGATCTAATTCGATTAATTGGTTAACACTTAGTTTTCAATTGTTTTGATTAACTTTTAAACAACATAAGTTAATTTAGTTTAAATAAATGAACCGAATTAACGGTTTGCTCACCCTTCTTTACTTGGTTCCAATTTGTTATTATATGGTTCTGATATTAATTATTTTCAAAGATGTATTTATAAATATTTATAATATTGACTTTAACTTCCTATGATAATGAATTAAGACCACAAACATTTCACAATTAAAAAAAATCATGGGGAGTTAAATGCAAAGATGTGAAAAACAAAGGGTGTAATTGCAATTTAACCCCAAAATGGAACTGAAACTATTTTCGTCAAAATGAAACTGAAATGCAAATGAAATTGAAATGCAATCAAAGCTGACCAATCACGACTCAGCGATAGATCGGCTCATTCCTAACCACATGTTCAGATACGCTTACTCTCACGTGTCATCTTCTCCGCCAGTCAGCTCCCACATGACGTCACGTGAACTAGGTCCCACCATCCTATCCTTCTTCCTCCGCCCAAAAAAAAAAAAAAATTATTTCTTTTACTTTCTCTCCCTACCTGTGTTTACGGTATCTCTCCTTCGTCTTCATTGCTTATTTTGCATTCCTCTGTTTATTCTAAAAAAAAAGAAAAATCCGAAAAGTGATTTATATTTTTAATTTTCAGTTGGAATTTTGTGTGATGTTTCATTTGTTCTTGTTTTAGTGGGTTTTTTTTTTGTATTTTTTTTTTTGGGGGAGTTGACGATGTGTGGAGTAATTGCAGCACGTGTTTACGAATCGGGATTTGGAACTGGATTTGTGATTAGCTGTGGTTTCTTTAGAAATGTTTGATTGGAACGACGAAGAGGTAATTAGATCTAAAGTTCTTTTTTTTTTAAATTTTAATTTAATTTCTTTTCTTGCTCTGTAAATGACTCTGTTTTTTTTTTTAATTTTTGTTTTGAGTATGCTGTTACATAAAATATGAATTCAATTTCATTTTTAATTTATTTTATATTTTTCAATATAAATAATTTTACTTGGAATAAATTTAACTGAAAATTTGCTATTTTGGCTCTGTTTTTGTGTTCTGTCTATGTTTTCACATGGATCTTTCTGTAGTTCAGCTCTGATTAATTGACCATAAAAATTGAAGCGCACTTGTCAAGGTTTCTATTTAAGGAAATATCTTTGCTTGGGATTGTGATGCAACCATCAATTATAGTTACTGTGGTGGATTTTTATTTTTATTTTTTAAAAATTATTATGAAATTAGCAAATTAACGAGGGTGCTTAGGGTACTGGTTATTATTTTCTATAATGAATTATCATCATTTTGGATGAATCATTTAATGAGATCTTGGTTTTTGGTTAGCAATGATATAATGGAAAAACTATGGGTCTTAGGATTTCCTCGCATAAAAATTCAATGGTTTTCTTGCTTGAGTTGAAAGAAAAATAGTAGTCTTTGGTTTAGGTAAAGAAGATTCTGAACACAGGAATAAGGTTAATGTTAGAGACCTAGGATGTATTGGACGTGATAAGCTGTACGAGAGTGGAGTAATCCTGAGAACAGTTTTAGTCTGGAAAACCAAAGGATGTTTTCTGGGGTGAACATGGAGCTTTGGTCTTTATGAGGTGTTGAAACAGTTCATAAGGAAGAATTTATATGGGTTAGGAACTAGAAAGCATGAAAGATGAGAATCAATGGAGTGAACTTGTCTGCTAGTGATTAAACAGTTTATGTGCATGGGGGAGCATAGCATCATTCTGTGTTCTGCAGCCTCTTGTTAACTTAACATGAAAACAGAAAAGTAGAGGAACTAAATAATAGCATGAATGATTATATTAGTATCAGTATTTGCATTTGTGCTGTAGGTTGCATGGTTTATAATGAGTCCGAGGATAAAGGTTGTTCTTCATTTTATGCTTGGTGGCTGTTCATAGTTTCTTCCCTCCCCACTTCCTTTATTTATTTATTATTATTATTTTTAACTTAATTTTGTTGACTCCCTAATTTCCTGGCACCTATGAGGACTAAAGAGTCATCTCAAGGGACTTCGATAACTTTTACATGTAAAGTTCTCTCCAGCCCTCTTGTGTCCGTATTACTATTCTAATTGTAAAAGCAAGGGGAGTCCTTGGTTTATAAACTTAATCATAGTTGGCCTTCAAGATCATTCTTGTAGCTTAAAATAATTAGTTTATTGGAGAAGTTTTCTGTGTTATTAACGAGGAGACCAAGCACTGAGGCAACCTGCTCAAGCCCTTTAGACAGTTTTAATTCGATTTGACATCAATTCTAGCTATTGTCTGGTTTTCGTCACTGTTTTTGGTTTTCTTTTTTACCATTTTTACTGCCGCAGTACTTCACATACTTTTATGTAGAATATTAAAATCTACAATGTCAAGGCAGCGTATATTTGTAATTGAAATTTCGTGACACCTTGATCAGGACTTACAGGGGAGATTAACTTTCTAGTTGTTCACCTGTCTGCATTCTTATTAGACAGACATATTTGGTAAATATGCATGCTTCTTGATCGCATATGGTAAAGAGTGCTGTGAACCACTCTGCTTGCGTTCTTTGTTAGTTATTACTTTTAGCAGTCTAAGGTAGTCTTCCCCTTTTCATCATGTTTGGGAGAGGTTGTGCCTTCATGCCTACATCAGTGAGCTATTTATTAGCTAGGAAGATTTTTGAACAGATATTCATTTCCTTCATATTTGCATGCTAGGGAAGCTTATGTAACCGTGTCTGCAGTTGCATGGGCAGTAGCATCCATAGGCTGGACAACAATTAGTTAAAATATGACACAGCTCTCGATAAATTCTTTCAACTCTTGACTATAATTGGGCCTGAACATAGCCTTTTAAAAGTAACGGTTTGCTTCATCATGTGTACTCTTCCCCTTCCCTGCATGTGTATGTTAATTATTGATTAACATGTGAAAAAAAAAAAGAAAAGAAAAACAGAGTTTGAATTTTAATACTTAATGGTGCCTGCTACATTTGGGATGGGGACTTAATGGCGCCTGCTACATTTGGGATGGGTTAGCTCACGGGGCCCTTCAAGAACCCACAAATTTATCATCAGCAAAAAAGAACTTAGTTACATGTGATCAAACAGGATATTTTAATACTGTTCAAAAGAAGAAAAAGGGATGTTCCAATATCTACTCTATAACTCACTACTATATGCCTACTTCTCTTTGTCGATGGACTATTTAAGTACTTCCTGGATCATTTTTTCCCAACCTATATGTCTTACCTTTATATCTGATGTGTTGATTTCTGGAGTTCATGAAAGATGGGCTTCCTATATCTTCTCAATCAGCAACTTCAATTTCTTTTAACTCTGTGTGTCAGATTCAATTCAGCATGTATTGTCCTCAATTGTGCTTTGTGTCTTTTTTTTTTTTCCTGGTTCAAAGGGACTTACACATCTCGAACATGACTATTTTTTGCTCCATCAATAATTACTTTTGATATTGAATCTGTTTGCTTTACATCCAATTGAGAGAACAGTAGTGTATTATTATATCTTTTTTTGCAATTTTTTGTTTTGTATGTACATAGAAAGTAGTGTTATCTAAGGTTAATTTGTGGGAAGGATGCTTTAAATTGTGATTCAAAGTAAATAATAACGGTAATAGGTCCAATCAACATAGAAACAATAAACATTCTTGGGATCAAATTCATTTCGGAACCAAATCATGTTGAAGGAAGATTGAATGGATTTCAAGTGAAGTCAAGACATTTGAGCAGAAGGAAAGAAAACTATGAGGCTTTGTGGAATAAATGAGGCTGTGATACAAGTGAACAAAGTACTGATCTGGGTTGGGGAGAGAGCTTGATGATTTTTTATTATAATTTCCATTCGAGAAACTCATATCCTATCCTTCTGATATCTTCTGAGTTCTAAACAATTTCTATCCTTTTTTCCTGTGGTGATATTATCGTTATTGGCAGTGATTTAATGAGGCACAGCCATGGGCTCATACACCAAACAACAGAGCTGCTGCTTCGCCATAGCTTTTCAATTATTTTAACCATTTTACTTTAGTATTATTATTTTGATTGCTTCATAATACCTTGTTGGATGTCATATGAGTGATGATATGATCCTTTACTCATATTTTCAGCTAACAAATATAATATGGGGTGAGGATGGCGAGAGTGATGATCATATAGTACCTTATCAAGAGGGAAGTGAAAACTGTCGTAGTAAGAAGGAATGGAGTCAAGAAACTGCGACCATAAAGTCTACTGAACAAAAGACACCTGGGCATAAAGTTGATCTTCATGGAAGAAAGGTGGAGGGCAGTTCCAATTTCAATGCAAATGGAGGGATTGCCACCTCAGGATTTGGCATGGGCTCGTGGCCAGAGTTATCTTTATCTAATGCAGCCAAAACTGATCAGGATTCCATGGGAAGTGAAGTCTCTAACAATTTGGCTGAAGTAAATAAATATAGTTCAACAAATGGTGAGAATATTATTTGTTTAGACTAAAGCCAATAGAAGTTGTTTTTTCTGTTTCTTTTTATAACCCTAAATAAGCACATTCTCTCAACAGCAGGGACGACTGAACTTACTAAAGATTCTCAAATATTTCAAAATCCCAATGAAGGCAAAGAACAAGGTGATTTTGTGGACTACAGCTGGGCTAACATTGGAAGCTTTGATGATCTTGATCGAATTTTTAGGTAAAGCACAATTTTTACCTTTCTTGTTGCTTATGAAAGCATTGTAATGACAATCTAGTCTGGAAGATTGATATTTGTGCAGTCATCCAAGTAGTGTTTGTTATGATTCCCACGTTTTCTTTTGAACTCGGTAAGTAACCACAAGTTGATAACTTTTGTTACCGTGGAATGACCTGTGGGGTCTTCACATAAATGATCATTTTATTTTTGTGGACTTCTAACTTCAAAATTTTCAAGTTTCATTTGCTCTAAGTTGTAACTATTCTGTGTATTCTTAAATGTGGAACTAAAGCACCTGAAGCTCCTGCACTAGTTTGTTCACTTTGGTTGTCCAAATTTAGTATACACTTATTTTGTGTTTCCCTTGATTTTGTAGCAGTGTTCCAAATTAGTGTAAGTAAATTTATAAAATAAGCTTGCTTAATTCTAAAAGCATTTATTGCTTCAACTACCCTTGTCCTTTTCTCAGGGCAAAAGGAGATAACTCCAATCATAGTGTTCCTTTCCTTGTTTCTCATTCTTTTTATCGTACACAACGGCATCCATCTGACTCAATATTCTCACAAGTGATGATTTTGCAGCAATGATGACCCAATATTTGGCAATGTAAGTCTTGGTAGTGCTGATGAGTTGTGGTCTTCATCTAAAGAGGTAACAAACAGAGCAGCAAAATCCTTTCCTACTGCTGTGGATTCTCCTAGTTTAGGTTTAGGAGCATTAAGGAGCACATCTGAGAATTTGGAGGTCAAAAGAGAATATGAGCAACAAGATAACCAGCCATTTACCCTTAGTAATGAGAAATTGGATGGTTCCACATCTCATGGTCTGCATCATGTAGAATTTGCTGGAGATGAAAGTAAATCCATAATTGAGGAGCAGGTGTGAAAAATCCACATGCAGGATGATCAATTCTTTATTACTCATGCTTTTAACTTAAACAACTAAACCAACCTATAAATAACATAATTTCTAATTTTACTTTCACAGATGAATGTGGAAACCGGGGGAAGAACCAGTGCATCAAAGTCTCACCTGGTTGCTGAAAAAGTTATGGCCCCTAATGAATTGGGTGATAAGGTATTCCTATCATACACTTAATACTTAACTATTCAAATTGGCTTTGGTTTCTGGTATTTCTCTTTAACATTTGGAATAAATTACTATTTTCCATGTTCCTGGGGATGGCAAGTTTGAATGATGTCCCATTTACTGTGCATTTACAGAACTATAGGAGTAGGTTTGTAGAACCTTTCTTTAGTGCTATGTAGGGAGGGAAAAAAGAGTCTAGCATCTTCAAGGGCAGAATATTAAAATAAATAAATAATTTTGTTAGCTATAAACAAAATAGATGGGTGGAATTGGTTGTTAGGTTGTCATGTGCCTGGATATTAGTGGGTTTGGCTTGGTATTATTAGGTCATGGAAGATATCTAATAATATTAGCCACTGAAAACCCTCCAAGAAGAGGTCCTTCTCCTTGTCTAATTCTAATGTTATTGTATATTTACCTATGACATTTAACTGTGATTATGTGCTTTCCATTGTAGACAGTATTTTTCAAGCCCTTGCCACATCGTTACTGTGTTAAGTTTTATTTGAGCTTTTGGTAGATGCTGATATAACTTTTGAGTTTGGAATAGCTAATAGATGCTGAGAATGTTATATTATATATAGATGTTCTAATGTCCAATATCTAATTTATTATGCTAAATCAGGCCCACTTTTTTTATATTATGGCGATTTGCAAAATATTGGTTGGGCAGAAGCTTAGTTTTGGACATGTGGAAGATTGCCATATACATTGACAACAGGTTTACTGGTTTATATTGTCCATAGAGCTATTGAAGTTAAGAATGGTGGAGATTGCTTTAACTAAAGACATCTTTGACTTATTCATGTATAAAAAAGTTATATCCCATTTAGCCTAAAAATGTCTTCCGCAGAGGACTTTTATGTGTTAATTTGGCCTATTTTTGTTTTTCCTTCAAGCTTGGGTAATTCTTTCTCCTAAATAATAACTTATTTCTTTACCCAAAATACAAGAGAACATCTTAAGGGTTCTTCTTTCCTCCTTTTTTTTCCCCCCTGGGGGGGAGGGTGGAATTGCTATTATGCATTAATTTACCATCATTTTAAGTATTGCTGTTCCAGTAAAGATGTCAATGTGTTATTTTGAGTTTAATTCTTCTCTGTGCAGGCATATAGGCAGAAAAAGGTGTTGAAATTTCGGAAAAAACCTGGAGACATAGGTGAGGCAAAACTATTACAGGAGTTATATGGTACATGGACTCCATCTGGAAACCCATTGGCTCCATATGAGAATAATGTGGCAACCTCCATAGTAAAATCTTCTCCATCTTCAGTTGTTGATCAGCAGAGGCAGCTTCGAGGATCTGACTCACTGCAATACCAGCACATCTCCAATACATTTGTGGCCCCTTCCACATACGGGAATCTTACAAACCAATATCCTGCAATACCTGTTTTGTCCAACATTCAGTCTGGGGAATTTAAAAAGCAACCCTTGCTTTCTTGTTATGATGTTTCCCCTAGCAAGGCAAATCCTGTGAACAGGTCAGTTGAGGCTTCTACAAAACCCTTGAGCATGACACCTCAGGAAAAAATTGAAAAATTGAGGCGGCGCCAGCAAATGCAAGCACTACTTGCCATTCAGAAACAACAACAGCAGTTTCATCATCAAGTTCCTTGTACCGATCACTCTGTCATTCGAAAATGTAATCAAGAAAATCAATTTCAGCATGTTGAGAGAGCTGATGTTGAAGACCTTACCACTCTTGCCTCATTTGATCCAAACTCCCCTCTAGAGCAAGATGATTCTAATACAGTCTCTGTCGCAGTTGATGACTACTCAGTGGAGGAAACAGTACTTTACCGGCTACAAGATGTAATTGGAAAGGTATGCTTGACTTTCTAACAAATTTTTTCTCTCATTGGCTAATAAGGAATCAGTGACACCATCAAATCAATGTTCACAGTTGGACATCAAAATTAGACTTTGCGTAAGCGATAGCTTGTTCCGGTTGGCTCAAAGTGCGATGCAGAGGCATTATGCCAGTGACAGAAGCAGCACTAACAAAAGTAGCAGGGATGAAAATGAGGTTGCAAAAGAAGAAAATAAGAAACATAAGAGGTTAGTAAACTCTACACTGTTGCTTTTATATTTATTTTGAAAGGGAAGCTGATTTTATATTATCCTTGGAAACATTAATCTTTGTCATCAACTCTCCAAAGGTTTTAGCAAAATTAAATAGCAGTTGATTACTTATGGTTTGCACTATTAATGGATGAATGCTGACTTAGTGAGGTGTTCAACTAAAGATTTATTTTTCCCATAACTCATTTTCTAGGTTGATGAATTGCTAGCTTTATGACAATTTGCTATATTTTACACTTTAAATAGCATGGTGATAACTATGGTTTCACCTTCCTTTTTTTTCACCTGGGCTTAGCTGGCTCTATTATATACTTATTGGCAGTTTCTTTAGATCCTCTTTGCATTCTTTTCCATTTTGATTTGTGGAAAGAAGTAGAAAAAGGGGAGATTTAGGGCTTGGTATGTTTCTTCCATATTGGGTTGACTAAGAAGAAAATTCTCCAATCAAGAGACAATTTTTTTGCATAATGATCTTATAGGAAATTACTGGAATTTTTTAAATAAATTTCTTTTAAAATTCTCAACATCTCTCTTATAGCTAAAATTTTTAAAGAATCAGCACCTCTTACATGTCCATTTTGTCACCACCATAAGATTTCTGTTTCCAATTTCTTCCATAGATGCAGCCAAGGAAGGGTAACAGCACATTGCCTTCGTAAGAGCATAATTTCAGTTAAGCAACTTACTTTTTTTTCTCTTGAGTTTCTATCTTTGATAGGTGATTAAAGATAAAGCCACATTTCTTAACTTAGGTTTAAATCAGTTTTTAATTATATCATTTGGTATAGAGCATTTGCTTCAAGCTCTAAGAGTTTCATTTACGTGTTCTTTTGGGGTTCAAGACAATTTCGGTGTCCATCTAGAGTCCCAATCCTTATGAGATATAATCCATTATAGATCATGTGGGCAGCCAAAATGATCAAATAAAGCCAAGACGAAAATGTTATAGAATATTCAATCATGGCCTTTAAACTAGGAAACATGCACCCACAAAAGAAGAATTTTCTGGGCAAATTAAATGTTCTGTGGTTAAATTATTTTCAGGAAGAAGAAACTCAAAATTTGGTAACTTTTGAATTTAGCCACTGCTTGAAGCACATAAACTAAGGTGTCATAATAATGGAAAATTAGAAAAAGCCATAGATGGTAATGAAATTATCAATAGTAAGACTTGGTATTTCCTGACAAAACTGAATTCTGCAATAGCTATGTTACTGCAAGTTTTGGACTTTGATGATCAACAATATGCTCTTAGAGTGTTTGACAAATGGAATTGTAGCTCTTACTTAACAAACCAAACAATGCAACTGTGTCTAGAAGTTTCCTTTCATCCACACTATGCCATTCCATTGCGGTATTTTGGGAGGGAATTATGGTTACCATTCAATCATGCTGGGTTCTTTTTGTCACCTCAATTTTATTTTATTTTTCATGTTATTAACAGTTAAGGTTTGTGTAAGTTAAAGAAGTATATGCTTACTCATTTTTGTTTATTAATTATCTGCTTCTCTGCTGAGATTTCATAAGTTTCTATGATCTGGTCACCATCCAACAAATTCAAAAGCATTGGTGTGGTTTTATTTGGTTTTTGTTTCTTGCTTAATGTATTATATCATTGTAAAGTCTTCTTCTGAACTTTCAGATTCTTTCCATAAATCAACAGCCTTTTCCAACTTAAGATATCCATCTCTATCCCTTAATGCTGCATTTTGTGCCTGTTGGAGTTAGATTGCATTAGAAGCTTGAGTATCATCTTATTCATAAGCTGTACTGGTACAGGATGTCTGACTCAGAAACAGAGACCAATCCCATAGACCGAACAGTTGCTCATTTACTCTTCCATCGGCCTTTGGAGTTGCCAGGAAAGCATCCTGAGACACCTGAATCACCTGCTTCCACAAAGTTCCCTTGTGAGCGCAAATCAGCAAGTTTATTGGGGTTGCCTATGGGTTGCATATCAGACAATTCACATGTTCAACAAAACCTTACCCACCAGGTCTTGAAAGGTCCTTCCCCATTGGTGGACTCCCAACATGTGGAACAATTTAAGAACAGCACTTGAATAGATAGTTCTGAGAATGCATCAAACTATGGACCTGCAGATGTTGGAGCCACTGATGTTGAAGCCTTGCAGTGAAACTTCTGAAATTATTTTAAGGGTAATTCCTTCCTTTAGTACTTCCAAGTATATTTAATGCGTGCTTTGAATTATTATACGGATTTAGTGTTAATTCCAAGGTATTTCTTTTCTTTGTCAGCTGATTTGACCCTTTCAAGCTTATCGTGGAGCCATGAAAATCTTCTTCGCTTGGCTGGATCTTTATCAACTGGCGGGATCTGAAGCCTTAAAACATTGTCATTTCAAGAATCTGTGGACATCATTTGCTATACTCCAAAACAGTATAGGTACTTGTATTTGAAGTCAATCTTAGCGTCGTATCTTCGGTCTGTCTATCCTCTGACGTACTCCCTGGAGACAACTTTGTTTTTGTGTGTCTTCTAAACTAGACCTCGCTTGATATGTCAAACCTAATAAGTCTTGGCGAACCCAAATTGCCTCTTCTATTCTTCTTTTACCCCAATTTGAAGTTCTAAAAGCTGAGACTCATTATTGAATCAATGCATCACCTGTCGTTTATAACTTTAAATATCCTGCTTTAAGCTGGGACTTCTCTTATTCTTGTGCTTAGTTGCTTCTGCCCTAATACTACTAGCTCATCATTTATTTAGTGTTTGTTTTTCTTGGTTATATTCACGTTGAGTTGAATTGAATGTTTTAGAGGCATTGTTAGTTCCAATTTAAGAGGAAAGAAAAAGGAAATTCCACCATGAATATGATTGTGTTGGTGTTGGATTACATGCATGTTTCTATTCGATCATTGAATGAATAACTAAATATTAATGCTGACTTTGACTAGACTAGTTGAATGACCTATATATTAAAATAGAATGGACTATTAGAAATGCTGGAGATAGTCTTCAACATGGCAGGCGGCAACCATTGGAAATGCTACCCACTTTTACTAGTTCCAAAATTTGTCATTTTCTTTGATCTGACTAGCAAGAAACTCAAAACTGCTATTCCAAGATATATTTAGAAATGGAAAATTGCTTTCAGTTGTCGAACTGCACTTTGTTGGGGGTTTCCATATGGCATTGTGTGGACTCAAATTCACTTATGGTTTTTAAGTATTGCTTTGGAGTACTTTTATTAACTTGGCTATAAATATCCATTTCTATCATAACTTCTGGCTGTGCCGGTACTCACATCAACAAGAAAGATGGCTTGCTTTGCATGGCTGTATCAAATGCTGTGCATTCTCTTGTTTTCCCCAAAGCTTCAAGCTATTTTGTCAGCTTCTTTACCTTCATCAACACATATAGATGAAAGTGCTGCTTTGCTACAATTTAAGAGCACCTTTTCTCTTAACAACGGGTCTTCTTATGATTGTGGTTTTGTTGGTATTAAATCCTATCCGAAGACAAACTCTTGGAAGAATGGTACTGATTGTTGCTCATGGGATGGGGTTACTTGTGACAGTGCCACAGGTTATGTGATAGGCTTGGACCTAAGCTGCAGCTGGCTTCGTCGCAGCATCACTTCGAATAGCAGCCTTTTCCTCCTCCGAAACTTGCAGATGCTAAACCTTGCCCATAATGATTTTAGAGCCTCCACGGTTTCATCTGAATTTGGTAATTTTGCTAGTTTGATGCATCTTAACCTCTCCTCTTCTCGGTTTTCTGGGAATGTTCCATCTAGTACTTCTCACCTGTCTAAATTGGTTTCGCTCGACCTCTCTTACAATCATTTCCAAATGACAATTGAAGAAGTTACTTTCAGAAAACTTGTTCAGAATCTAACAGAAATTAGAGAAATCTTTCTAGATGAAGTTATCTTTGGGTCATTCGAACTTGGTTCCTTGATGAATGTGTCTTCTTCTTTAACATCTCTCAAGTCTTAACTATTGTGAGTTGCAGGGAAAATTCCCAGTATACATTTTTCAGCTACCTAATCTCAGGTTGCTTAGTTTGTACAGAAACCCAGAACTCATTGGTTATCTTCCAAAATCCAATTGGACTGGACCCTTAGAGTTTTTGAGCCTTTCGGACACATCTTTCTCTGGAGAGTTGCCTGATTCAATTGGCAATCTAGAATCTTTAAAGCATATGAATTTTGCTTTTTGTAACTTTTCTGGGTTAATGCCAAGATCATTGGGGAACCTTTCGAAACTTATTCATCTAGGGCTCATGGCTAATAGTTTTATTGGCCATATCCCATCCTCACTCATAAACTTGACAGATCTTACATTTCTTGGGCTTTCATCTAATCAACTAGTTGGTTCTATTCCTAATACGGCAGCTTCGTTTCATAGTATACTTTATATAGACTTGTCTCACAACTCACTTAATGGAACATTGCCATCTTGGTTGTATTCCCTATCATCATTACAGTACTTGTATCTCCATAATAACCAACTCATTGGTCGTATCCATGAGTTTCAGCAAACATCATTGATAAAAGTAGATATGAGAAACAACAAATTCCAAGGTTCTGTTCCCAGCTCCATATCCAGACTGGTGAACCTCACTGAACTCGATTTGTCATCCAATAACTTTGAGTGGCAATTTAGAGTTAGACATGTTCTCAGAGCTCAAAAATCTTCTTTTTCTAGACCTTTCACATAATAGGTTATCCTTGTCCTTTAACAAAAATGACAGTCCTATGTTGCCTGTTAGCCTCGAGTTTTTGTCTTTGTCATCTTGCAAAGTAAATGATGAGTTTCCAAAATTTTTAAAAGTCTTAACCAATTTGCAACAGTTAGACCTTTCTCATAGTGGTATCCAAGGACATTTGCCCAAATGGGCATGGGACATGGGGAAGGATTCATTGTCTTATCTAAATCTTTCTCACAACTTGTTGACATCTTTAGAGGAAATTCCTTGGAGACATGTTGAAGTTATGGACTTCCGATCCAACTTGATTGAAGGAAATCTTCCGGTTTTTCCTCTCTCAACAATCTCTTCTCAAATTTGCAATGTAAGTTTCCTTGAGGTGCTCGACTTGTCTCACAACAACTTGAGTGGAACCATCCCGGGATGCCTCGGAAGCTTCAATGCAAGTCTTTCAGTATTAAATCTAAAGATGAATAATTTTTCCGGAACCATTCCTTCGAGATTTGCAGAGGATTGTGGATTGAAGAATATCAACATCAACTCAAATCGACTAGAAGGAACATTGCCACGATCTATGGTGAATTGCAGAAACATTGAAGTTGTTGATCTTGGAAACAATATGATAAACGATATATTTCCTCATTGGTTAGGAAATCTCTCAGAATTACAAGTTCTCGTCTTACGTTCAAATAAGTTGCATGGTTCCATACGTGGTTGCAAGACTGATAATTGTTTCTCCAACTTGCAAATTTTAGACCTTTCCAACAATGATTTTATCGGTCCTCTGCCAAGCAAGTACATTGAAAATCTAAAGGCAATGACAAAGATTGGGGAAGGCCAAAGCCCTTATTTGAAATACGTGAGTCCTAATACGAACCCGTATGGTTACTCCTATGATTATTCTGTAAGTGTGGTCATGAAAGGACACAACAGGGAACTCGTAACAATTTTGGAAATATTCAGGAGCATGGATCTCTCAAATAACAAGTTTCGAGGAGAAATTCCAATATCCATGGGAAAGCTTGTTTCACTTAAAGGACTTAACTTGTCTCGTAACAGCTTTTCTGGTCATATCCCCTGGACGATGGGAAACCTGAATGCTCTTGAGTGGTTAGACCTATCCTCAAACAAGCTGGTTGGGAAGATTCCAAAGCAATTGGTAGACTTGACATCACTTTTCCTTGAACCTTTCCTACAACCAACTTGTTGGACCCATACCTCGAGGTAAACAATTCAATACATTTGAAAATGGTTCATTCGAAGGAAACATGGGGTTATGTGGATTTCCATTGTCCAAAGATTGCAAAGAAGATGAGGTAGGGCAACCAGTACCATCATCTGTGGATGACTCAGAATCCGAAGATGGATTTGGCTGGAAGGTTGTTTTATTGGGTTATCGATGTGGATTTCTTTTTGGAGCCATGGGATATCTTGTGATTCGAAGGGGCTAAACCCAAATGATTTGTTACTTCATGGTCTTGTACTTGTTTGGGCTTTATGAAACTCAATGTTGATGAATCTGTTATTGAGAAGTTATGTGTTGGGGGGTGTGTTACAACATCATAGTAGTGTGATCAAAAGGGTAATTTCCAAATCTATTGGTATATTTTCTTCATTTCCTCGCTTTGAGCTTATTCTTATTTTCTCAATATTGAAAGTAATTTCAAGAGAAAATTATGAAAAATAACCTTTCTAATAAGCTCACTTCAAAAATGACCTTCACTATAATTTTAATTGTTTTAAGACAATTTTTGACATGACTTAACAAGAATACCTTTTAAACCATTTAATCCAAATTAAGTGATCCTAGTTTCATTCTTTTCTCCCACCATTCAGATAAAAAATTCCAAAATTAAATCGATTTGGCTATCTCACCGTCTAGCTCTCCAATGCCATTGGGGTCTATGTCATGCAGTCCATCACGGTCTATATCTCATCGTCTAGCTCTCTAACGCCATCGAGGTCTCGCCATCCAACTTTCTCATCACTCCAAAGTGCAGAGATGACATCAAGGTATTTATTATGGGTTCTTGGGTTTATTTTTTTGTATTCATAAAACGTAAAAGTTGATAGGTAAATTATATGACTTTGAAAACTTAAATCTGGTTGGGAGTAGTGAAATCAATCAATTTATAGGCGATGTGTGAATATTTGATAGGCATTGCGTTACTAGATATTAAGGCGTGTGACTAGATATTAGGCATTGCATGACTGACTATTAGGAATTATAACCTGTTTATTTGACATTACGTGACTGAATATTAGACAATTGGGACTAGATAGGAGGCATTTCAAGACTAGATTTTAGGAATTGCGTGAGTTGTGCATTACGCGTTGAGATTTTAGGAATTACTTGACTAGTTTGTAAGCATTGCGTGATTAGTTTTTAGTAATTGCGTTGCTTTATTTACCTAATACTGAAGCTGATTATTTATTAATTCAACCCTCTTAAAAACAAATTCTGTAAAATTAGAAGAGAATTAGGCATGCTTAATAACTAATTCAGCCTTTTTAATTCCACTTATATCGGTGTAGAAAAACATCCAGATTCAACTGACACAAAACTCTGAAATTGTCTTTAAAGCACTTAATGTATCGATTTATGAACTAACCATATTTATTAGAAAACAAGCCTAAAACCATTGAATACTTTTCTAAGAGCCAGAATTCATGTCTATAAATAGAGGGAATCATTATCTATTTTAATCAAAATCATCTGAAAGAAAATCTCAAAATTCTCATGGCTTCCAAATATTCCAAAAGTGAAACTAGGAAAGAGGTTGCTGCTGAAGAGAAAGATATCCCTGACAATGTTGCAGCATATTTGGTCAAGTTGATGGACCAAATTGAGAACACGACAAAGGACATGTGTGGGTTGATGGATAAGGTGCTGCTTTGTAAACTAACCTAATCCCCCTAACTTAGACATGATAAATAAAACTAACTTTAAATAAACTTTTTTATTTACTTAAAA